GAAGAGCATCTTGGTGTAGGTGCATGTCCATTGATAGTACTTAGTATGTTGGCACTTTACTAGTATGAAAATAAGCTCAAACTTTACTAGTATGAGTGGCTATTTGCATCCTCCTCTGGCAACCAGCGTGTATAGCAAGATAATGTTGGCACTCCATTTTAGACATTTTGTCGAATGTGTTGTTTTTCTTCTAATTCGAAAAAACAAGAGAATGGCGAGATATGATCTCTTGACCATTTGAAAATGTAAGGTTTTCATTATTCTTCTAAATAAACTTGTAAATAAACCCTGTGATTCTTGAGTCGTTCAAGCACTAATCACCACTTTAAGTATGTACTCCCTCCGTTCCCAAATATACGTCTTTCTAGAGATTTCAATAAGTGACTACATACGGAGCAAAATGAGTAAATCTTCACTCTAAAAGATGTCTATATACATCCGTATGTTGTAGTCCATTTGAATGTCTAAAAAGACCTATATTTACAAACGAAGGGAGTATGTGCCTATTCACGCATACATGGGCATGCAAGACTATGCATACAGACGTCCTTGCGGACACTGCCTCGTCAATCCTCTACGAACGAGACGCTCGACGAGGCCAACATGATGGCGCTCCTGCATACAGATGCCGAGTGAGCTAGAGACAAGACCCGTCTCCAATCAAGACAAGATGCCTTTGATTACTTGGTTCAATTACCTTGCTAAACGGCCTCACATGTATGCTTAGAGCCACTTGAGTAAATAAATAATTTTGTTAGCTGTATATGCTATACCACGACGATTGAGTCCTTTGATTGGCCAGTCAAACGCGGAGGAGCATGTCATATGGTTTGCATCAGTGGGCCAGCGCCAACAACTAACAATCTTATCTTTGCAATACTAAATCCACGAGAGAGCAGACCAACCTGTTGGTAGCCAGTGCCAGTGGTCACGGTGGTGCATTGATGATGACGAGGATAGACGAAGTGGTGAAGATACAAGCTAGTTATCACTTGTAATTGTATTTCTTGATACTTACTGTTTGCTGCCACAGAGCTGTGAACCACGGGTATTTCTATTAACATTCATTCTCCGGAGTGCCTGAAAAAACATGAAAAAAGGCTTTAATCTTACTAGCTAGGGTGCTGGACAAAATCATTGATGTTTACCTATCACCGTACCAAGACACAACTAACTTAATTATGTTGGCCTACATCTAGAGGAAGCAAGTGCTTGCTTAATTTCATTCGTAAGAGGCTGGCCCAAATTATATTGACCGAGGAAAAGACTCGGGGGCAGCGCGCATCCATGACATCGTGCTTGTTATAAGATATTAGGGATGGACAGTCTCTGCACATGCATTTTCAAGTGATCTGTTCCAAGATGGATTAGTTTATGATCTCGATCAATGATCGATGGGCCAAGAATAGGTCTAGGACGTCTGAACCTAGCCTAAATGATATTACGACACGAGGACTTGAAAAGGTCATCATCTTGTTAAAAA